AGTCAGTCAGACCCAGGATGGGACATGAGTAAAGAGAAGCCAAGCATCTGCAGTCTCTGAGCTTTGGGCCTGACATTGGCCCTGACTAGGGGGAGAGGCAGGATTTTCAGCCTGGGTCAAAAGTGAAACAGGAGACAAGAGGAGCCTTGAGGAAGGGATTCTGGAAAAGGAACAGCAGGCATATGTCACTGTCACCAGAGGCATCTGCTGTGTGGGACACTGTTGGGTGCCGCAAGGCGGCAAGTGTATATCACAGGTGATAGCTCCACAGGTGTCGAACCCAAACAAGGATGGACACCCAGGCCTTGTGTATCAAACCCTGCTTTGGAAATGAACACTCAGAGTTAGGTGCCATGAATGACTCTAGACTGCTGTGTACTCTGTACCAGTGACACTTGTGAGCACAGCAGGCTGTGGAGTACCTATGGACAAAGGCACCTGTGTGCAATGGAGTACCTTGCAGGAAAAGCAGAGACCCAAACACATACACTCACACACACATTTGTAGTATTCATGGAGAAAATGTACTGACAGTGTGATCCAAGACCTCTCTGCCTACAACAAGAAGCTCCATGTGGACCATTCCAGCTCCAAACCAGCATACCCAGCCTGCTGGGAATGCACTGCTCCATGGGCTCTGGAGGGGAACATGAGCAGTAATTATACACTGCATCCTCAGGACAATAACACTTATGACGATACCGCTCAAACTCAGACCTTGTATTGGGGTGTGTGCCTGTGGGGTCAATGTAATCCCCCCATACTCCCATAATTCCCAATCCACCCCCATACTGTCATGACCTCCAGTTTTGGAGGATATGGGTGCATGCAGGACCATCTCCACAGTTTCCAGTTCCTCAAAGCTTTCCCAGCTTCACCACGCCAGTGTTAAAAATTCTCTCACCCCCTTCTCCATGGTAACCAGACACATGCTGACCCAGGCCACACAGTCCCCTCCCAGGAATGCATGGAGCTATGAAATGGATTCCACACACATCTCTCAACCTCTACTGTGATGGCAGTAAATGGATTTCTAAGTCCTGAAGGAAGTGATGGTCAGGAGTGAGAGATGACCCCTTCATACACCCTTGATTCCACCAGTCAATGTGAAAAGGAAACTGGATGCTGGGCCTCCCAAGCAGCTGCAGAGGGACTGGGTAGGGTGTCATGTCAGGAGGGTTTGTGTTCAGGACTGAATTATGGTGTTGTGAGTCCGGCGGGGGCACCAGGGAACCATCCTCGGTGAGTTTTACCTTTCTTTATTTTTAGACTCAGGGTGAAACTTGGGGAAAATGTTTTTCTCTATTCTGTTCTGTCTAAGACAGGGGTTTGAATTTATCTGGGGTCTACAACCCTAACCCTAACCTGTCTCATCTTTTCAGACACTTTGATCAGGACAGGAGAAGAAAATCCCAGTGAATTCCTGCTCCCGGCACAGTGAATCACTTGCCCCCTCTCTCTGGGGAAAAATCTCCTCTGAACTCTGGGGTCTTCTACACCTCACCTCAGAATCTCCAGGCCCTGTGAAACCAGCAGAACAGGGGGCTGTGGCTGGTGCACCAGAGCCATGAACATGATAAGGATGCTGGAGACAGCCAAGCCTCCCTGGTTCAGTACTTTGTGGGTATCACCTATGGGGTAGCTTTTCATAGCATGAGGGGAAACCTTTGACTGGATACATGGAGAGATGGAGGGGAAAATGGGAGGGTGACAGAGATGAAGGAAGAATGTCCTGTGAAAAGTGACCACGGGAGCTTGATCCCTCCTTCTACCCAGGACAGGCAGGTAGCCTTTCACAGTGTGGGTCTTGGGACTCTCAGGTACAGGTAGGCACATTCACATCCCAACTAAAAGAAGGGACACAAAATCAGATGCTGAAGGAAGGGACTCCTGACAGCCATAATGTGAGGGACTTGTCTAGGCAGAAGGATGTCCTAGGACAGCTAGATTCCCAGTATAACTTATGATAAGAAGACAGCTGGGATCAAGGACAGACCCAAACTCAAACACAAAATATTCAGCATGGAAGCTCTCAATTTCCTGGACTCTGCAGGAACAGACCCCAGGATTACACCTATGCAGAAGCAGTCTCTGTGGGTAGGCAGGGTGGAATTTGCAGTGATGGTACCAGGGTACAGATAGGCAGCAAATACACTTCCCCAAAGGAAGGAAATTCTAATGACTGAACAGACAGACACCTTTCTGAACAAACAAAAAGGAGTGTCCCCAAAGGAGATAATCAGACAGAGAAATTACCTGAGGAATGTTGAGTACCAGGGCTTACACTAGCCAGTATCAGGAGAACACAGGTGGGTAATGAGAAGGTAGAAACCTGTAGGCGAAGCTCCAGCCAAAAGAGACCAGACTTTCCTCAATCCTTGGGACTTCTGGCGTCTTCTGTCAGGAGGTGAGTATCCCCACCCTCCTGTATCAAGTTTCCTGACCAGGGCTGCACTCAACTAAAGACTGAGGTCAGGAGGCCCAGGTGGACACCAGGAAGCAAATCTCCTGCCCCTCCCAACTGCACAGGTCATCCCAAGGCCGGCTCCTCATTCACTCTGTTCACTCTTCTGAGGAGATTCAAACCAACAAGACCACACTGGTGTGTCTCATGAGTGACTTCTACCAGTCACCGTGTCTGTGACCTATAAGGCACACAGCACCCCCATCACTCAGAGCATGGAGACCACCCAGTCCTCTGAATGAAGCAGCAACAAGTATGCAGCCAGCAGCTACCTATCATTACACCCAACCTGTACAAATCTAGCAGCAACCACAGCTGCTTTATCACATACAATGGGAGCACTGTAGAGAAGAGAGTTGCCCCAGCACAGTTTTCTGTGCCCACCCCCCACCCCATGGAATCTTGAGCTTGGCAGCCCAGGGGAAGTGTCTCCACCCATGCCAAGGCATCAACTCTTCTCCCTGCATCCAATAAACCCTCAATAAATGTCCTCATTGTCCATCCGAAATTCCAGTCTTTAATCATTTTTGCTTGCACACTTTCCATTCTACATTCAACCATCCTCAAAAGTGACAGCAACCCCTAGATCTAGTTACAAAGCAACCAGGCCAGTGCCCTGATGTTTCTATGAGGGATACTTACTATCATCCTACCCCCACTGAATATTCCAGTAAATGTTTCCAGGGAAATACCCTTAGAAGTACCTAGGCCTGCCAATTCTTTCCCACTTCACCCAGTGATTCCTGAAACACTGTGCACAAGACGTTCCCTGGCTACAGGGATACAAACACTCCTTCCATTTCCGGACACCAGGATAAAGTCTGAGGTTTTTTTTTTCTCAATTATTCTGAGACCTCACAGTGCACATGATCCTTCTTCCACGGTGTCTTTCCATCTCTCCCTCCAAGGAGATATGCTCCTCTACACTTGTAAATATCACCCATCAAAATCTAGAGCTCTGCCCTTTCAATAGGGACTCACCCTGCTCCACATGGCCCCTGACCTCTGTCCCCACAGAACTTCCCTGTGGTTCTCAATACTGAAATCTCAATACTGAAATCAGTTTCACACATGGAAACTGATCAATAATATCATAAAACTCGCTCGGAGCCTATTGTTATACAAATCACTAATTGACTAGCTCTATTCAAGGCCACTGAGGGACATCAATCAGGTCTGCTCTTCACTGACTCTATCACAAGTATGTAATGTCCCAGTGACCACAAGTTGTCAACAGGCTGATGAGTTCAAAGTCAGTGACAAGTTTCACAGTTCTACACTATATCTTCAGGACAGTGGGGCTTATGATCAGCTGAATCCTCTTCTGAATGCAGTGGGGGATCTGATCTTTAACACACATCTATACACAAATCTCCTGTGCACATGCCCATATTGGTTAGCAATCTCCCAGAGATGATCAAGAAAGGCTCAGCTGGAAGACACTGTAGTGGGACTCAGGTTGGCAGACGAACAAAGAGAAGCCAGGGATCTGCAGTCCCTGAGCTTTCTACCGGTGGAACTCTCCCTGTGACGGAGGAGGGCCAGGGTTATTTGTCCTGGCCAAGAGTGAAACAGGAGACAGGAGGAGCCTGGAGGGAGGGATTCTGGAAAATAAGCAACAGGCAGATTTCAGAGCTTAGTGGAGGCACCTCCTGTGGGGGACACTGTTTTGAGGGCAGGGTGGCAGTTGTGTGTCATTGGTGTAAGCTCTACAGGTGATGAGCCCAGACAGAGCACTTGTGTGTTCAAGCACTGCTCTGAACATGCCCATCCAGTGTAGTGTGCCATGTGTGTCCCCAGGCTATTGTGTACTCAGTCTGGGTGACACTTGAGAACACAGGAGGCCGTGTAATACCCATGGACACGAGTGCCTGTGTATACCCGATGGAGCTTGAGGGAACAGGCTGGACCTCTCCATTCAAAGAGTTCCTGGAAGAAACTCTACTGGCAATGGAACCCATGATCCTTCCTACAACATGAGGAGATCTATGTGTTCCATTCAAGCACTAATCCAGCACTCCTATCCTCCAGGGATGCTGCTACTTTGTGAGCTCTGGAGGGGGACATGTGGGGTGATCATACACTATATCTTCAGGACAGTGGAGCTTAGGATGGGAGAGCTGGAACTCAGAACTTGCAGTGGTACCAGTATCCTTCGGTCAGTGTAACTCTCCCCATAAGGGTCTGAATCTCTCTGGGGTTTTCAACCATAACCCCTCCTGCCTGCTCACAGGATCGTTCTCTCTCTCCCTCTCTCTCTCTCCTCCTCTTTCTCTCTAAGACATTCTTCTTTGGACCTTTGAACTCTTGGAATTTCCTATCAGAGTATCTGGGCCCCCAGGGACCAGTAAACAGGGAGCTGATGTTGGAGCAATTCCTATTCCCCCACAATTCCTATTCCAAGCCCTTCCTGTCATGACTTCCAGGATACTTCCTCCACTTCCCAGCTCCTCAAATAGGTCTCAACTCATTATCCCCATGTTGTGACTTCTCTTACCTCTTCCCCTGTGGCACTCGGGAAACAGCTGACCCAGCCATGCCGCCCCCTCCCAAGAATGCAGTGGGTATGGAAAGGATTCTACATACCTCTCAATCATTATCATGATGGGGATAAATGGATTTCAAAACCCTTGAGAAAGAGATGAGTTGGAAAGTGGGAGGTGACCCATTCAACTGCCCCTGATTCCACCTGCCCCTGTGGAAAGGAGGCTGGACCCTGAGCTGCATGAACAGTTGTGGAGGGACTGGGTGGATCTCAGGAGGGTTTGTGTATGGGGCTGAATCATGGTGTGTTTTCTTTGGCCTTGGCACCTGGTTGACCATCCTTGGTGAGTATCTTCATTGGGGATTAGGGATGAAATTTTGAGGGAGTGGTTTTATTCTTTCTTTTCTTTCTAGGGCAAGGGTCTGAATCTCTCTGGGGTCTTCAACCATAACCTCTCCAGCCTGCTCACAGGATCTCTCTCTTTCTCTCTCTCTCTCTCTCTCTCTCTCACTCTCTCTCTCGTTCTCTCTTCCCCCACCCCCAGACATTCTCCTTTGGACCCTTGGGAAGTTCTACTCCCTCCATCAGAATATCCAGGCCCCCAGGGACCAGGAAACAGGGAGCTTGGGTTGGAAAACTAGGACCATGAATTTGGGAAGGATGTTGGGGACAGGACACCCTTCCAGTATTCTTTCATCTGTTGGTTACAGCTATGGGGAGGCTTTACACTGTGTGAGGACAGGCCTTGACTGTAGACATGGAGAGAAGGAGGTAGAAGTGGGAGAGTGACAGAGATGCAAGAAGAATGTTCTTTGAGAAGGTGACCCTGTGGTGCTGCAATCCTTCTCTCCCAGGATAGGCCGGTTGCTTTTGGCAGTGTAGCGCTCAGGACTCTAAGGCACAAAGGCTGCCATATCTGCATCCCAATGAAGATGAGGGACCCCAAATGGGACGCTGAAGGAAGGGACTCCTGATAGGCAAAATGACAGGGCCTCCACGGGAAGAAAGATATCCCAGGACTTCTAGATCCCAGGATTAGCTTCTTAAAAGGGGACAGGCTGACCATCCTAGGTGAGTGGCTTCTTTGTCCTCCTCCCCTGCCCTCTCCAGGGTTTGGTTCAATTTTACATTTGTTGTTTTCTCTCTATCTTGTGTCAGACTGTGGTCAAGCATTCTCCCAGACCTCAAACCCTGGGACAGGAATTTCTCCCCACACTGCTCAGATACCCATGTTCCTCAGATGGTCACTACAACCCTTCACTATTGAACATAGAGACTGGGAGTGAACAGGATGATCAACTGAGACTACTCCTCTGTCTGTCTCTTTGTTTGTATATATGTATGGATGGATTGATGGATGGATGAATGGATGAATGGATGTCTCATTTACAGGGGTCCATTGAGTCTTCAGGATTTGCTCTGTCTGGTCCTGCTCATTGGTAACAGTCTGCCTGGATCACATTATGAAAGGAAATGGAGGACTTACAGGTAATAGGAACAAGGGAAATGAAGGAGTGACCACATCAGAAAATTATTGGACCCTGAGAGAACAGGAAAAGGTAGGAGGTGGTAGGGCCTCCCCAGGATTCCATGGGGTGTCACAGAGAAATCCCTGAGTTGCCTTGAACTCAGGAAACTGAGGCAAGAGGGGAGAAGGAGAGGAAGAATCTAAAAACAAGAGAGTCAGTAGAGAAGTTATCTAAGGACATGGAAATCAGGAAGGCGGGTTACTGAGTCTCTGCAGAATGTACCCCAAGAAGCAGGATTCCCTGAGCTTACTGATCCCAAGGCAAGAACCCGAGATCAAAGGCATAAATAGCACCTATCAATTCATAGGCAGAGGGACTCTTAACATCAAGTCTGACAACTAAAGACCAGGACAGGCAGATAGACTCACTCAGATGATCAAAGGCACTACTGCAGAGACTCCAAGAAAAAAGAATTGAGTAAAAACAGAACACTTAGGTTAGACCCAGAGCATGAACTACAGACATGTTAAGTAAGAAAATACCCCACACAGAATCAAACATGAGAACCTGAGATTTCAGGGGACAGACAGATAGTTCCAGACAGACCAGGTCAAGATGTTGGGAGGAGGTAGGAGGAGGTGACTGGGGCCAGCTGTCTATGCAGGAGGATAAACCTAGAGGGTCTCAAAACCTCTTGGTCATGGGCAAGCAGGCTCCAGCGTTCTTAGACCTGACAGAGAGTGGTTCAGGAACACCTGACCCACTTTTCAAGAGACACTTTGACTTATATGAAGGGTCTTGAAGTGGCATAGAGTGCCAGGCCCCTCCTCACACACAAAGGCCGAAGCTTTCCATAGAGAAACAAAGACTGAACTCCTATTCTTCCCTGACCCCCACAGGTCAGCCCAAGGCTGGCCTGTCAGTCACTCTGTTCCCACCATCCCCTGAGGAGCTCAAAACCAACAAAGCCACACTGTTGTGTCTTGTCAATGACTTCTACCCAGACATAATTACAATGGCCTGGAAGGCAGACAGCTAGCCATCACTCAGGGTGTTGAGACCAATGAGCCCTCCAAAAAGAGTAACAACAAGTATGCAGCCAGCAGCTATCTGATTTGTCATCTGACATCATGACTGTGGAGACGTCATGATACATACAGCTGCCTCATCATGCATGAAGGAAGCACCATGGAGAAGACAGTGGTCCCTGCACAGTGTTCTTAGACCCTGGCCATCCACTGACCCATGGAAGCCTAGAGCTTGGGAGACCAGGGGAAGGATCCTTGCCCATGCCAGGTTGTCAACCTTTCTCCCTGCACTCAAAAACCCTCAAAAAAATCCCCCGTTGTTAAGCAGAAATTCCAGTATTTGCTCATTTTTGTGTATATACTTCCATTCTATATTTAACCATACTCAAAGGTGAACAGAATTCCTTGATGTGGGGACAAAGCAGCCATGATAAGCAACCTGCTGTTTCTCTGAGGGATACTTTTACTGTCATTCAACAACCACTGAATATTCCAAACCAAGGGAAAGACCATCAGAAGGACCCAGACCTGCCCATTGTTTCCAACCTCTCCCCCTGTGTTTCCTGCAGCACTTTGTGTAAGTCCAACTCCAACTCTAGGTACCAAGAAACAAACCCTCCTTCCAACCCCCTGGTTCCTGGGAGAATGGCTGAACTCACTTCCCTGTTATCTTGGGCCCTAAGAGTGGGCATCATCTTTCGTTCAAGATGTCCAGCCACCACCTCCTCAAAGGTTATACACTTCCACACTTGAAAATCTCACCTAGAAACAGGTGACCAGGACAGTTGCCTATTACACAGAAAAAAAAAACTCACTGGAGAAGCAGATGCTTTTATAGAAATTCCCATGGCAGTGGAATCCCATAGAGTAGAAACAAACCCAGGTTAATAACTGGGTCTGTGGAAAGGCCCTCACTAGAAATCCACAGTCTACTGGGCCACCTGGAATCAAATCCCAGGTACTGAAACCCTTGCCACCAGGCAGTCCAGAGGAGTCCTTGTGGGGAGGCAGGGCAGGGGCAGCATAGGTGGTGGCAGGAGGTTTGTGGGCAAGAAACTTCCTCCCTGTCAGAGAGAAGAGCTTGGACCTAAGACAGGCAAACATTATCACAAACAAATGAGCACAGAAAAACTGATGGGAGATGTTCAGACAGACACACTGGAACAGGCAGAAACTTGAGGGAATTTAGGGCCCCATAGTCAGTTTCATCCAAGATTGGGGGAACAGTGGTGGGGATTGGTGAGTGATGAGCAAGAATAATAAAGAAGCATATTCAAGGAACCCTGCGACTTTTAAGGGTTGGGCACAAGGGAATCTTCCACATAAATGTGAACTTCCCAATGCTCCACTGAGCTGACCTCAATCCAGCAAGGGCACATCCTGAGGTCCCTGTTCTGAACCTTAGCCCTGTACCCACTTCAAGACTGACATCAGAAGCCCCATGATAGACACCATTCCTCTGACCTCCCGCCCACCACCTTTCCCCACAGGTCAGCCCAAGGCTGCCTCCTCAGTCACTGTGTCACAGCCCTACTTTAAAGAGCTCCAAGACAGCAAGGGCAAACATCTGGGCCTCACGAGTGACTGCCATCCAGGCATCACAATGGTGACCTGAAAGGCAGTCTGCACCCCTGCCATCCAAGGTGTGGAGACCACCAAATCCTCCAAACAGAGAAATATTAAGTATGTGGTCAGCAGCTACCTGACCCTGACACCTGAACAGTGGACATCTTGCAGCAACTACAGCTGCCAGAAAATGCACAAAGGAAGCACTGTGGAGAAGACAGTGGCCCATGCATGGTGTCTTTAGGCCCAAGACCTGTCCCCACTCTGGGGCTTAGAGTTTGGGGATCCAGCATATCTCTCTCTCACTCCAATTGATAGAGCCATTCTCCCCGCACCCTATAAACCCTCAATAAATATCCTCGTTGTTAATCAGAATTCCATTGCCTCTCATTATTTTTGATCTCATATTTGAAATCTCCCTGGACTCTTCCTGAGGTGTGGGGGACTCCTGTCACCCAGTGGTTAGTAGCCCAAGGTCAAATAATAATCTGCTCCTGCAGACATCATTCTAGGAGGGGTCTTACTCAACCAGATTTCTTTTTCCAAACTCTCCACACAGAGAGTTAGCCTGGCATAACTTGGACCAGGTGGGTCTCACATTCTCCAGATTCTACATCCTCTCAACAGAGGCCTAACCCTGTATTATCCAGCATCTCCAATGTGCCATTGGTGTCTAGCCACATCTCTGGAGTAAAGGGAGTGCCAGAAGAAGTTCCTGGTGTGAGGCCCTGGTGTGTCATCTCTCCTCCCAGCAAGACTCTGATGTTCATATCACTCCAAGTCATTGCAAACTTCAGTGGAAGAATGAACAATTTAATGATAATCAAAACAGCTAGTGAGGCTCTCATCAAATGCCTTGTGAATCATACTGTGGATATATTGAATCAAATTGGGAGTGCTGCTGTTCATCTGTGGTTTGTAATTGAGTTTTCCTGAGGATTAAAGACTTGATACTGTGACTGGTGAACATGGGGTAGACTTGCTCCACCCGGAGTCATCTCCCAAATCACCCCAATAAGTCCGGCAGGGCAGAAGTTCCAGGAGTTGATAGCTGGTCCTGAGACCTTCCCGGGGTCGAGATGCAGCCACTGACTCCCCAAGCCTGAGTTCAGCGCTGCTCTTAGGCTCTGTTTTCCTGCAAAGTTGTTCTAGCATCAACAGCTCACCGGTCTCAGGCTGTACACTGCCAAATATGTTCCCGGGGTGACTGGTGACTTCCAGAAAAGGCACTCATGTCAGGTCTTCAGGCTTTATTGCTGTTAGCTGGTTGGATGGTCAATCCTTTCATCTTTTGGATGGGAAGAAGCTCAGAGGGCTGATGCTTCCATCACCTTCTTGGGAGGTGGCAGTGATTGTTTGGAGAAGGACAGTAAATGAGCTATTCTCTCTCACCCAAGAAAGCGCCTCAGGAAACAGGAAAGAAAGTAAATGCAGGTGGTTCAACATTTTATTTTTGAGTTGGCGTCTCACTCTGTTGCCCAGACTGGAGTGCAGTGGCACGCTCCCAGCCACCGCAGCCTCAATCTGCTAGGCTCTGGTCATCCTTCTGCCTCAGCTTTCCTAGTAGCTGGAAATACAGGTGCACGCTACAATGCCCAACTAATTTTTTGATTTATTGTAGAGATGAGGCCTCGTCAAGTTGCCCAGGCGGGTCTCGAACCCGCGGGCTTAGGCAATCCACTCACCTCGGCCCCACAAAGTGCAGGATTACAGGCTGAGCCACCGAGCCCAGCCGGTGGTTCCACACTGTTCACCTCTTTACAAACTGGCCATCTGGTGTGCTGCTATCCTACAGAGTGAACATTTAAAGTTAGGGCCATGGTGAGCTCCATCATGTAAGTGAATCTGCCCTTGGAATCCATTGTTAATGTTTCACAATGGTGACAATGTAGAACAAAATCATGAATTTCGCTGCAACCTGGATGGAACTAGAGTCTATAATACTGAGTAACCTCTCACA